AGTCCCTGGTCTCGGCTTACAAACCACCAGAAAGTCCACATTGGCAAAAAGCTCAAGAAATGAGGATTTTTGTTGACTTCTGCCAGAATGTACAACCTCAAGTACTTTGAGTCTGTGCTGGTGATGAAACCCTATAAAAATACCGAGAGTGGAAGGGGTCTTCTTCAGACTCAGAATCTAGCACATACCTTAAAATGATGACACAGAACCAGAGTAACAGGACTAGGACTCCAATTCAGGGAAGAAATTGATATTCCATCCTGGTGGCAACATCCAGTTATATAAATGACCAGCTTTCCCAAAAAAAAATTAGAATTAAAAAATTACAAAAAGAAAACAGCGTTGATTTAATTCACGTTTTTGGAGTCTGAAAGTCTAAGCAGCAAGTGTTGGCTCTGGGGATGTCCCCTGGCCCCTGGCCCCTGGCAGCATGGTGGGAGGGATCACATGGGGAGAAAAGAAGCCAGAGACTGGGAGGGACCAGACCCTGTGAGCTCCACTGGCTTCCAGGAGAGTTTCCCCAATCCCTGTGGGGGCGATGACCCCTTGACCTCGCAGTGCCCCACTAGGCTCTGGCCCTTAAGGCTCCGCTCCCTCAGAGGAAGAACTGACCCCAGGAGACTGCACCCCACAGGGGGCTTCACTTCCTTCTCCCAGGGGCAGCGACTGCTCTCCGCCTGTGGCCGCTCCCTGGGGACGGCCCAGCTGTGACTGCACCCCAGCTCTGACTGCACCCCAGCTCTGACTGCACCAGGTGGAGAGGCATTAGTTCTCCAAGAAGATGTGGAAATCCTAAACGTGCATGTGCCTAACAACAGAGCTCCCAAAGTATTTACGACAAACTGAAAAGATCTGAAAGGAGAAGGGGACACACCGCAGCTAAGGTCACGCTCCGACTTCAACACTGCACTCTCAGGACTTCCTGTTACCAGATTCAATGTGCGTTTACTCCTAACATGTGCAACGCATAGTAAAAAGATCTCACATTAAATAGACTCTGGTCATGGGGCCAAAACAGGAAAAAAGAATGAATTTACATCAAGCTTAAACTACATTGCTGAAATACAAATAGCAGATTTTATTACCCCTCCAAAAACCTCAGCTGTGCTTCTTCATCAGGAACTTCATCTGAATCTAGAATATTTCCACACCTTGATCCAAAGGAAAACAAAAGCCCCGGATAAACCAACTCCAGAGAGGACTATTTACAGAGACCTGAAGAGCAGCCCGTCCAGGGATCCTGCCAGACTCTCAGTAATGGAAAGAAAAAAATTAATAAAGAAATTAATAAGTTGACAGACAACCTGAATGATTCCATGGTCACACCACCTGGGGGTGTGGAGAATGTGTCACCAACAGAGGAAACCACACAGGAACCCAAGAGAAGCGATATCCCAAGGCATGAATGAGCCTTGGAAACTTAGAAAATATATAAATGATGGAAAAGTTTCAGTCCACAGAAGAGTGAAAGTATAATCAATTTCAGAAAGATACTAGAAAATTCCCAAATATTTGTGAATTCCACAAAACACTCCAAAATAATCTATTAGTGAAAAGGGAAATATTAAAGAGAATTTTCAAATAATTTGAAACACAGCCTGTCAGGAACAGGGGGGTGCAGCTAAAGCAGAGCTCAAGGGGACCCAAAGCACTAAATGATACTCTGGGAAGCCATTCTCGCACGTGATTGGGCACCTCCCAGACTGGGTGTAAGGCATTCCCGCCAAGCTGTGTCAGAACCTATCCCCACCCTTTTTAGGTACAAGAGCCCATACATGTGGGGGTGTGACTGACCACTGACCCTGAGACCAATCACTGACCCTGACCTTGGAATGCTGTCCCCCTCGACCTTCATTCGATGGAATTTTCCCCTGAATTCCTTGTTCCCCAATAAAAGGCCACTTTCTGGCATGCCCTTCCGCTCTCCCGCTAGTCTCTTGTATAAACCTCGCTATCCCACCAGGTGGCTCAAGGAAGGAGCCAGGGGGGGCATCTCAGACCTGGTTAAGAAAAAGGTAAATTGAGTTTATGTGTGTTTATTTTGATCTCACTAGTTAACTTCTATGCTTAGGTCCTCTAGGATGAAGCTAGAATGCTGGTCACGCGGAAGATGATACAATACCAAAGAGGAAAGCTCAGACACGAGTGAATGAGCTTCTCTCCAGAAATCAAGAAAAAAGAGAGGAAATGAAATAAACAGCAGGCAAAAAAAGAGGAATAAATGTTGGAGAGGAGTTAATGATGTAGAAATGAGACACACAGGAAGAGTGAGGGAACCCAAGAGCAGATCAACGAGGACATCAGAAAACACAGGAACAATTCACCTGTGAAGAGAGGTGGACCTACACCCACATCAGGATGAGATGGGACCTCACTGTCACCTTCACCTAGAGAGCAGCAGGAAGAGAGGCGGACCCTCACCCACATCAGGAGGAGAGGGGACCTCACTGCCACCTTCACCTAGAGAGCAGCAGGAAGAGAGGTGGACCTGCACCCACATCAGGAGGAGGGGGGACCTCACTGCCACCTTCACCTAGAGAGCAGCAGGAAGAGAGGTGGACCTGCACCCACATCAGGAGGAGAGGGGACCTCACTGTCACCTTCACATAGAGAGCAGCAGGAAGAGAGGTGGACCTGCACCCACATCAGGAGGAGAGGGGACCTCACTGTCACCTTCACATAGAGAGCAGCAGGAAGAGAGGTGGACCTGCACTCACATCAGGAGGAGAGGGGACCTCACTGTCACCTTCACATAGAGAGCAGCAGGAAGAGAGGTGGACCCTCACCCACATCAGGAGGAGAGGGGACCTCACTGTCACCTTCACCTAGAGAGCAGCAGGAAGAGAGGTGGACCTGCACCCACATCAGGAGGAGGGGGGACCTCACTGTCACCTTCACCTAGAGAGCAGCAGGAAGAGAGGTGGGCCCTCACCCACATCAGGAGGAGAGGGGACCTCACTGTCACCTTCACCTAGAGAGCAGCAGGAAGAGACGCGGACCCTCACCCACATCAGGAGGAGAGGGGACCTCACTGCCACCTTCACCTAGAGAGCAGCAGGAAGAGAGGTGGACCCTCACCCACATCAGGAGGAGAGGGGACCTCACTGTCACCTTCACCTAGAGAGCAGCAGGAAGAGAGGTGGACCTGCACCCACATCAGGAGGAGAGGGGACCTCACTGCCACCTTCACCTAGAGAGCAGCAGGAAGAGAGGTGGACCTGCACCCACATCAGGAGGAGGGGGGACCTCACTGCCACCTTCACCTAGAGAGCAGCAGGAAGAGAGGTGGACCTGCACCCACATCAGGATGAGATGGGACCTCACTGTCACCTTCACCTAGAGAGCAGCAGGAAGAGAGGTGGACCTGCACCCACATCAGGAGGAGAGGGGACCTCACTGTCACCTTCACATAGAGAGCAGCAGGAAGAGAGGTGGACCTGCACCCACATCAGGAGGAGAGGGGACTTCACTGTCACCTTCACATAGAGAGCAGCAGGAAGAGAGGTGGACCTGCACTCACATCAGGAGGAGAGGGGACCTCACTGTCACCTTCACATAGAGAGCAGCAGGAAGAGAGGTGGACCTACACCCACATCAGGATGAGATGGGACCTCACTGTCACCTTCACCTAGAGAGCAGCAGGAAGAGAGGTGGACCTGCACCCACATCAGGAGGAGAGGGAGACATAACTGTCACCTTCACCTAGAGAGCAGCAGGAAGAGAGGTGGACCTGCACCCACATCAGGAGGAGGGGGGACCTCACTGTCACCTTCACCTAGAGAGCAGCAGGAAGAGAGGTGGACCCTCACCCACATCAGGAGGAGAGGGGACCTCACTGCCACCTTCACATAGAGAGCAGCAGGAAGAGAGGTGGACCTGCACCCACATCAGGAGGAGAGGGGACCTCACTGTCACCTTCACCTAGAGAGCAGCAGGAAGAGAGGTGGACCCTCACCCACATCAGGAGGAGAGGGGACCTCACTGTCACCTTCACATAGAGAGCAGCAGGAAGAGAGGTGGACCTGCACCCACATCAGGAGGAGAGGGGGACATAACTGTCACCTTCACCTAGAGAGCAGCAGGAAGAGAGGTGGACCCTCACCCACATCAGGAGGAGAGGGGACCTCACTGTCACCTTCACCTAGAGAGCAGCAGGAAGAGAGGTGGACCTGCACCCACATCAGGATGAGATGGGACCTCACTGTCACCTTCACCTAGAGAGCAGCAGGAAGAGAGGTGGACCTGCACCCACATCAGGAGGAGGGTGGACCTCACTGTCACCTTCACCTAGAGAGCAGCAGGAAGAGACGCGGACCCTCACCCACATCAGGAGGAGAGGGGACCTCACTGCCACCTTCACCTAGAGAGCAGCAGGAAGAGAGGTGGACCTACACCCACATCAGGAGGAGAGGGGACCTCACTGCCACCTTCACCTAGAGAGCAGCAGGAAGAGAGGTGGACCTACACCCACATCAGGAGGAGAGGCGGATCCTATATGTCTGTCCCAGGCATGTACAAGGTACTCTGGGCCCTGGTAGAATTGTCCCCTGCCTCCTATTGCTGCTGAGGAAGTATTCATGGATTCGTTGAAACACCTCCCCCACCAGAACACATCCCAAAAGACATAGGTACCCGAATAGTTCTGCAATTTTTTAATAATGTGAATTTTTAGCTTACAACTTTCCAAAACTGACACGTGAGGCCCCCGTGGGTTCACTGAGGCACTGCACCAAGCAGTCTGGAAGGGAAGGTCCAGGATTCTGGAGAGGTGCTGCCTGCCCCTCTGTCTGTGCACAGAGACGCAAGGTGGTCGTGGGGAGGAGGGAGACTCCAATGCCTCTGGACTGGTCAGTAACCACTGCCACAGGATCCCCGGTGACGCTGACACTAGGGACAACACTTCAGAGGAAAACAGGACATTGGGTAGACTGGAATTATGTACCCAATAAAATGCCTGATTACCAGGACGGCTTCACACCCCACCAATTATGTTATATTACCTGCTCCCGAAGGCCGATGTTCACCCCTTTTCCCTGAGTGTGGGCTGGTCTCAGGGACTCTTCCCAGGACTGTGTGGAGGGGCAGAAGGAACTTCACAGCAGAGGATCCAGAGGTGCCACCCGAACCGGGCAGATCCAGGCCAAGGTCTGCAGGGAGGTCAGGCAGAAAGACACCTCCCTTGGCCCTCCGCTGCCCCCAATCCATACCTGCAGCCTAACGGGGAAAACATCAGGCAAAACCACCCCGGCAAGGTCCGCAACACCCCCGACCAGAACCTGAAAGAAGCAGCGAGTCGTGAGGGCAGGAGAGCCAGGAGCTGTGGGTGGGAGAGGAGACGGGCGGGCAGGGTGCCGCAGCCTCGCGTGGCCGTGGTGGAAAGGGGGAGTCGCACAGCAGGGGACGCGGGTGCTGCGCTGGCTCCTGGCTGTGATCCTGGCGACAGTTGGCCCACTGGGGGAAGGGGTTAAGCCGGTGGGATGCTCTCTTGCCCACACTGTCCTTGAGGCTCTCTGTGCACCTGTACCTGGTGCCTGAGGCCCTGGCTCCATCCTCAGCCCTGACAAAATAAAAACGATTTCAGAAGAAAATGCTTTTTAAAACTTTTTAAATGTATTTCCAACTTCCTGACTCCACATGAATTGGCCAGATAGATGGTTTCCCTCTCATAGAAGTATCTTAGTTTTGATTGGCAGGTGCGGACTGCTCACTTTAATGGGCTTCGGTCTGTCTGCACCCTCCCACGTGCACGCGGGGTAAACAACAAGTTGGCACTGACTCCGGCCTCCCTTTCCCGGCCCCACCCCTGCCCCTGCCCCAGGCCCTGGCAATTCCACACGCACCCTGGTCCCCCTGTGCCTGGCTCATTTCCCATGCCCACAGCCTCCCGTTGCAGATGGCAGGGCCTGGCCCTTCTGCAGGGCTGGCTGGCACACCTGTGCCCCTGTGCCACGTATCCTTCACGTCTGTCGACACACGCCTGGGCTGGTCCCACGTGACTCCAAGACCCCAGCAGATACCAGCCGCCTGGTGCAATAAAACAAGAAACGGCAACACAGGACCCCAGGCTGGAGCAACGAAGAGACATCACGCCCACGGGAGATGTGGCCCCGGCACCCAAGTCCCACAGCACTCACACCCAGCTGTGCTGACCCGAGCACAGCAGCCACGGGAGCAAGGCCCGTGTCCGAAACCCAGCCGCGCTCCATACGCCAGCAGCGAGCCACCCGGAAAGGACATTCAGAAACAACCTCATCCATGGGCCTGCGATCCCTGCAACCCAGGAGGCTGAGGTAGGAGAAGCACCAAATCAAGGCCAGCCTCAGCAACTTAGCGAGAGCCCGGCTCAAAACAAAAAACAGAAAATCTGGGGATGTGGCTCAGTGGTTAAGCACCCCTGGGTTCAAACCCTAGTAATAACATAAGAAAATAAAGTCACTGCATCTAAAAAGAATAAGATGCCCAGGAACAAATGTAATTGAAGTACAAGTCTAGGCCACTTAAACCCACAAAATGTCACCGAGAGGAATCAGGGACGATCAGCCTCAGTGGGGAAGACAGCCCATGCTCACGAGTCGGATGCATCTCATGGTAAAGGTTCTAAGTGGCCCGTCTGAAGGCCCCGTCTGAAGGCCACAGGAGCTCCGCAGGTTTGCAGGCTGCCTTCCCAGTTGTGGGTGTCTATTCAGCGCCAGGCTGGGTGGGGTGCCAGCGGCTCTGCCAGTGCTCGGGGGCAAACCTGCCATGCAGGAGCCTGGGAGTCAGCATTCCAGCTGTGCACAGCAGAAACGCCCAAGGAATTGGAAAGCAGCTGTTCTCAGGTCCGTGGGGAGGCAGTCACTGGGCAGACTGTGGCCCCGAATTGGAGAGAGACAGGAGAGAACAGCAGCTCGCAGGGGCAGAGCCTCCGTGGGAACCAGGGCCAGGTGCTGGGGAAGTCGCCGCAGGCCCAGTGCACGTGTCTGAGAGGCTGAACTGCAGGGCAGGCTGGGCCCGCATGCTCCCCTGCGAAGCCCTGGAATGACCGCCCCCAGCCCACGACTCACGCCCATGGCCGCTTCCACGGTGCCTTTTACTCCAGGCATTGAGACCGGCTTTCAACAAGGAGGTGTGCGGCCACAGACCCGGAAGGAGCGCTGTCTGAGACAGCCTCGGACCAGACCCAGAGTGGGCAGTTAAGTAGCTGCCGTTCAGACCCGAGGGGCTTCAGCAGAAAGAGAAGGAACAGGAGAAGCAGAGGTCTGATGGGAGACACGGACTCTTAAGACAGACCCAGAGAACCCCAGGAATCAAGAGCGTGGACATGAGGACCGCCCGACTGGCTCTTCAGGAGAAGGACCTGGCTACGGAGGAATCCGTCAACAGGAGAGAGACCCAGGCTGAAAGGCAGAGAAAATGGAGCAACACGTGCAGATAACCAAAAAAGAGGGGAATACAGCGTAGCTGATTTGTGCTGAGGGAAGGGGAAGTGAGATGGCTCTGTGATGCATCCACTTCCCGGAGCTACGCTTCCGAGTCCCTTCCTTAGAGGCAGCTATAGGGAAGGGCTCTCCTGTGACAGCCAGAGGGGCAGCCACCTGGCAGCCACACACTTTGCTGCTGCTGTGCAGATTCACCTCCAGGCATGAAGCTGCACCCAGGCCCACACCTGCTCTGGGTCTCCTTGGATGTCTCCTGCTCCCCTGCCCATGGGCCAAGTGTGTGCATTCAGCTCCTTCCAGAGGACTCTGGCTTCTGCAGGACACCCTGGCCACCAAGGTCAGGGGCAACAGAAGTGGACACAATCAGCAGCTTAGTGAGACCACAGGTTCCAGGCCATTCTCATGGGCTCTGCCTCACCCTGGCACCTCCTGTGACCTCTTCCACCTGACCTGTGACTTCAAGGTCCAGCCGCACATGAAGACTCAGCCTCAGAGGAACTGCTTAGCCAGCCCCCCAAATCACCTACGCCAGTTTGTAGGTGCATTCACAGAAAATTCACACATACACATGCATGCCCATATGCATGCACACACTCACACACACATGCATACACACACATGCACTTGTATGCACACATGTAGGTGCATACACACACTCATACACACATAAATGTGCATGCACACACACACATGTGCTTGTATGCACACATGTGGGTGCATGCACACACATACACATGCCTATATGCATGCACACACTCATACGCACATGCATACACACACACTTGTATGAACACATGTGGGTGCATACACACACTCATACACACATAAATGTGCATGCACACACACAGGTGCTTGTATGCTCACATGTGGGTGCATGCACACACATACATATGCCCATATGCATGCACACACTCATACACATATGCATACCCACGCACACACATACATACACATGTGCTTGTAAGCACACATGTGGGTACATGTACACACACATACATGCACATTCATGTACACACAGACACACCTGCATATGCACATGCATGCATACACACACATGCACACATGTGAGCACATACATACGTGTTCCCATGCATGTGTGTGTGCGTCGTGGCTTGTCTTCTCTGCTTGGTCACACCCAGCACAGACCTTGGCACTACTGTGGCCACAGGAGAAGGTCCTGAGGTGGTGCTCCCTGCATTGGCCACCTGTCTTCTGAGCCTGATTCTCTGGTCTGCTGAGAGACGAGGTGCCGAGGACCTGATTTCCCATGGTGGAGTGCGACTGGTGGCCTTGCTGTGAGGGGGCAGAGAGTCATGCACATGGTGCCTCAGTCGCCTGTCGTCAGGAGCCCAGGAGGCCAGGCCAGTGGCCAGGTGCCTGCCACCTGAGAACAGCTGAGGAAGGAAGGAGCTGGCTGCTCCCACCTTCCCTGGAGGACGTGGGGGATTCAGAGCTTTGAATCTGTAGCTCTAGGTCCACCCGGGTGTCCTGAGACCTGCTGCGACTACCCTGAGGGACCCCATGTTGGGCAGCCCCCAGGCGGAATGGCTGTCAATCGAGTCCAGAGCCAGTTCCTGCAGTGCCTGGACTGCATCTCACACACTGACTTTGAGCTGCACTGAACAGTCAGGTTGGAGGCAGGAGGATGGTGGGAGCCCGCCGGGCAGCAGTCAGACTCCTCGCAGCTCAGAGGAGGCAGCGAAGGAAGAGCGGACTGAGGTGCTCTCAGACTCCACATCACCAAGTCTGAGAGCTGGAGAGCCCGGAACAGGGGGTCCCGAGTAGCAAGCAGACCCAGTGCCCTCAGTGAATCCGAACCTGGGGAGGGGAGGGCAGCAGAGAGAGGGGGGCAGAAAACCTCTCAGGCTCCCCCTTAGAAACATCTGGAAAGTCCGGGAAATTTTAAAGCATGACAGTGACAGCAGGGCCCTTAAAGCAGCACAAACAACTTAAAACCAAGTTGTGAAAAGAAAGCGGAGCCGGGTCCCCCAGCCACCTGTGAGCCCTTTGCCAGCAGGTCCCAGCAACGCCCCACACCCAGACGGCTGCAAATCAAACCAGGGGAAGGCCCTTCAGTGGGTCCTCAAGAATCCAGCCAGAAAGAACTTCTAGAAAGGGCCAGGCACAGGACCACACCTGAAATCCCAGGGACTTGGGAGGTTGAGGCAGGAGGATCACGAGTTCAAAGCCAGCCTCAGCAAAAGCCAGGCTCTAAGCAACTCAGTGAGACCCTGTCTCTAAATAAACTACACAGTAGGGCTAGGGATGTGGCTAGGGGTCAAGTGCCCCTCAGTTCAATCCCTGGTACCCCCCAAAAGGACCACTAGTGGCCTAGAAGGACCACTACTAGCTGAAAACCACTGAAACTCCCTGCCCCTCCCCCTCCCCCTCTCCATGAACAAGGGGAACAAACGGGCTGGTGGGGACCCGTGCCAGGAAGGGCTGCTCAGCCTCTACAACCCAGGAGAGGGCAGGAAGCCCTGCACAGCAACCAGCAGCTCTGTCCCCCAACAGAGGGACATGGGGACAACAGGCCCTGACCAGCAATGGTGGGGGAAGGCATCATGGGAAGCCTAGAGAATGTCCCCAGAGTTGCAGGGCCACACAAAAGGAAGCTGCCTGAGTACCCAGTGACACGGAGACCCAGCAGGGAATTGCGGGAGGTGATGCAGCAGGAAGGGACGAATCCAGCCTTAGCAGGTGCACAGCTGGAGCCAGGATCACAACTGGAAAGTGACAGGGCGTTGTTCGGAAACTAGGGGAACTTGGCATCAGACTTAGTTACAAAGGGATCAACCCCCACCAGTCAAAACCGGGGCAGGGGGAACTAGAGCCCAGGTGAACCACCTGAGACCCTTCACTAGAGCATTGGAGGACGGCGTCAGCGGGGGGCACCTGTGGAAAACCCACAACCAGGGTCCCTGCACTCACAGACAGCCCCCTGCATCCGCATGGTGTGGAAAGGGTCCTGAATGGGGGCAGGGACATGGTGACCCACTGCCACACAGGGACAATGTGGAGGGCCGTCGCCCTGCACGAGTAGCATTTCCCTTCCTGTGACTGGAAGAGGCTGTGGGTTACCTTTGTAGTGACCCCCATGTTGCCCCATCCTGTGTCTTCAGGTGTAGATGTGCCCTCCCGCAGCCCCAGGGGTCGAATTACTCACCTGTCCTTGTAACCCTGCCCCTCTCAACCTTTTTTGGATGGAACTTTCTAAGAATGAGGGACCCCCAATAAAAGCCCACTTCTGAATGTGCCCTCTCTCTCCAGCCTCTGGTGACTTTCCTCGATCTCCCATTTGGGGAGCTTGAGGCTGAGAGTGGAGGAGCCGTCCTGAAGCTTGATTTAAAGGTAAAGTGTGTGTCTGTGTTTTATTCGGTGTCCCAGGAAATTCACTCAAGAGACCTTAAGTTTAGCTGCCCGCACTTGTCGGGCGCAGCAGGACCCTCTGGAGCCCGCATCGAAGACAGCACACAACAAAAACAGCCAACCCACAGCACTGACCCTCTGAGCATCCAGCTGCAGGGCCCTGAGCTGAGAGGGAGTTGGCTCCTGTGGCCCTGGAACCCAGGAGAGATCACAGCCAAAGACGGGTGGACATCTGCGAAACCTGCAACCCCCGGTGAAATCCAAACCCAGAGTCAACAAGAATTCTCTTCACCTCCACTCGGTTTACCGTGAGTGACTCTAGGGTCAACCCTGATCATCTGAATGACCCATTGACTTGAATGACTGTTAACCAATAACCACCATTGTACCTGCAAACCATCAGAATCCATTTCATCTAATGGTTTGAAGCCTGGGAATCATCTTTCTCTCTCCTCCCATCTTTTTTCTCTAGCTCTAGTTTGTCCCTGTTTGTCTTCTGACATTATCGGCCACTACCTCAAATTCCAATCATTCTTCTATTCCCCTTTATACCTTGGTGTGAACTATTCCTCTATATATTCTCTCTCTCTCTCTCTCTCTCTCTCTCTCTCTCTCTCTCTCTCTCTCTCTTTCTGTCTCAATTTTTCCCTGCCCTTTTTGCCCAGTCTTTCTTCCTCTCCTGTTACAGTGCTCACCTAAGGTTACAGTAAGTTTGATACACTTAACAACCAATTATTTGACCTATTCCAGAACTTTGTTATACACTTATACCTGAATTTGAGGGATCATAGAGAACAATCGCAGGGAATTCTTGCTTCTTGTTGAGTGGTATGAGGGTGCCTCTGGAGTGGTCATAATAAACAGGGCTCAGTGGCACCTCTTAAAGCCTGCTGATATTGGGATGAGCAAGGTCACATGTCCACTTAAATATCATTATCGTGGTATTCGCCCAACCCAGGGCTCTTAAGAGAAAGAAGCTAACGAAGAAGCGATTGGATTAAAAGAAGAAGGCAGAAATCTACTGATAGATGGTAGACACACAAACGATACGGAAGAGAGGGGAGCAAACCTGCAGACAGGGCATGAGGCTTCATGACCTCACTGCATCATGGTGGGGACAGCCAGAGAGGAGCAACCGTAGGGAGCTCCCAGTCAGACTGCTCTGTGAGCTGAGAGAAGGAGTGAGGAGAGAAACCAGGGGGAAATGCAGGAACGGAGAGATGACGCCAATAAAGAGATGAGATCCTCTAAAGGAGTCAAGC